GATGTATACAATATGTTGTCATTGTCAGTAGTCACCATGTTGTATAGACTGATCTAAGAACAAAGCTCTGTACATCCTATACCCTTAAAGACTTTCCTTTCTCTCTCTCTCTACATCTCCTGTATGATAATTCTTTCCATTCCTGCAACACCTCCCGTGGTCACCTCTGAGTCTTTGCTGTGTTCACATAGCTAGCCACTTTCCCATACTTCAGGCTGGTGCTTTCTCAGACCCTGAAACTTAGAAACTAAATCCCCCAGCTAGCTGTTTCCCAAAGTATATGCAGATTTTTGTTTCTCTACAGGCACAGTAGTAACCCCGCCTCTATTGATCAGATCGCAGAAGGTTCACAGTCTGAGAGGACTTTGTGCATTACAGTATGGAAAGAGTAGTGACAGATGTAAGAGGTGGCTGGTAACATTGATGAATGTTGCTGCTTAGATTACTTTCTCCTTTTTATTCAATACAAGACCCCAGTGTAAAGGGATGGGGGTATCCATATTTAGGGCAAGTTTCTCCTCCTCAGTTGAACCTCTCTGGAAAAATCCCCAAGGTCATGCCCAGGTTGTGTCTATATTATTTTAAACCCATCAGTTGATAATCAAGACCAACAACCATAAAAGTATTGTTCCTTGGCTCTCCTAGTTCCTAGTGGCCTGAGGCATTCTAGGTTTATAGACTCATCACTTTAATCTCTACTTTTATACTTTGTTTTTACTTGATCTTCTCCCCTTCTTCTCTGCCTCTGCATCTGCTTTCCTTATAAAGATATCTGTTGGGCCAGCAAGATGGCTTGCCACCAAGCCTGACAACTTGAGTTTGATTGATACCAAGAACTGATACTGTAGAAGGAATCTCTTGTGTATTGTATGGATGCAACACCTGTCAATTAAAAAACCTATGGCCTCTGGCTGAGGCAGGAAATAGGTGGGACATTCAGCAGGCAGGAGGGATTCTGGGATAGAGCCAGCAGCATGAGATTCAGCCAGCAAGATGTGAAAAAGATGGATACATGGTGCCTGAGCTCAGGTAACCAGCTACATGGCAGAATGTAAATTAGTATAAATGTATTATTTTTAATTATGAGCTAGTCAGAGAAGAGCCTAGCTATATAGCCTAGGTATTTGTAAAATAATAACTGAGTCTCACGAGTTATTCCAGGAGATATCAGATGGAAGGACCTCCCCCCCGCACACATACACACACACAATAAATATATAGTAAAAGAAGAGAACCAAATCCTGTAAGATTGTCTGTCCTCTGGCCTGTATACAAGAGTATGCACACAAGCACACAAATAATGTAATAAAAATGGCATATCTTCTATGCTGAATTAAGGTCCATCTTAATCTAATATGACTTTGGTTTAAGTTGATTAAATTTATAAGGAGTCTTTCAAAATATACTCATAAGCACTAAGAGTCAAGACTTCAACACATCATTGTATTGAAGACAAAATTTAAGCCTTAATAATCTTCTTTCCTCTATTATGGTTTTTAAATCAGTACCAACTGGCTTTTACTCAAGTTTCCTTCTGCTAGTACCATTTATCTACTTAGAAAATGTCATACTATCATAAAATTTCTGCATAAAAAAACAATTTGGAGTTCTGAAACCACAGAGTTTATTTTATCAATTTAATAAGAGAAAATAAATGTAACAAAAGGGAGATAACTGATCTTATAATAAAACCTTGCCTGTAGCTAGCTTACACTTTACAGAGGTCAATATTCAAAACACATTTAGATGAGAGGGCAGAGAAACTGGTGAACATATAAAAAGCTACAGCTGCTGTGGAAGACAATTTGGTGGTTCCTCAAAAGCTAAACAAAGAATTCCCATATCATCCAGTTGCTAACGAGGACATTCCTAGCTGAAAGGTGCAGGGCTTGAAATAAGTTAAAAACCAAGTCAAGAGTTAACTGGCTTTGATATCTTGCTGGGTAGAGTCTTTCAGAGGTCTTCTGTGGCATGTTCCTGTCCTGTTTCCTGTTTTCTCCTCCTTCCGATGTTCTTCCCATTTGCTTTTCTGAGTGAGGATTGATCATCTTACTCAGTGTCCTCCTTCTTGCTTAGGTACTTTAGGTGATCAGATTTTCGTATGTTTATCCCATATTATATGCCCATGGCAGCTCATTCTCCAAGTAGGTACCCTAGTAAGGGGAACAGAGACTGTCTCTGACATGAACTCAGGGCTGGCTCTTTGATCACCTCCCTCTGAGTGGAGACCAGCCTTACCAGGCCACAGAGGAAGACATTGCAGCCAATCCTGATGAGACCTGATAGGCTAAGGTCAGATGGAAGGGGAGGAGGACCTGCCTCATCAGTGGACTTGGAGAGGGGAATAAGAGGAGATGAGGGAGGGAGGGTAAGATTGGAAGGGAATGATGGAAGGGGCTACAGCTGGGATACAAGTGAATAAACCGTAATTAATATAAAAAATTAGAATTAAAAAAAGAAAAAGTAAAAGAGGCATAAAAAATAGAGTTAACTGTTCAGTAGATGAAATTTAGCCTTTTCCCAGAATATGAAACACAAAGCTGTTTCCTAGATCCCAATGACAATGCCCTAATATCAGCCAGAAGTTTCAGAAGATAACTCAACACCCATTGTTTCCCACTTAACAGGCTGAAATACTGAATCAAAAAAGGCTCCCTGGCATAACAGACAAATGATTACCTAAGTTTCTTAATGACACTAGATATAACATGACTAAGGACTGCTGGTTCTATCTAGATAGACACCAAGCCCTTCCAGAACCTTTATCTAGTTCTTCTTAAGTGTTAGAGATGGTCTAGAGTTAATTATTTGACTCTAGTACAAAACCCAAAGAAGGAAATGAAGGGCCCAATCACCTGAGCTGCAGCATCTGTGCTGCCATGACAGGTTTCATAAAATACTGTAGGCCTGAGTTTCTTTTTCCTGGTAATGTTCCCATAGTTGCTTAGATCAAGTTCCTTTTTCTCAGAACATGAAACTATAGTTCATGGAAATGAGGTACAATAACTCAATAATCTCCCTGAAAATCAGAAACAATAGTCTAGTAATCACCTTAAAAAGTCCCCAAAGCACTTGAATAATACCTGAGCACTTTTTGTTAGCACTCTTTGTTATTTGAGCACACCTTGTTATGTGGACACTACATGAAGTCCCCCACCCCAGATTAGCACCAACCAATCAATTTATGACAACCTTGCTTCTGCTAAATGCAAACCAGTCATGTAACTGAAAGTCCTGTTCCTTGCTCAAACCATAACAAAACCCCAGCTTTGCAGCTGCTCGGGGCTCCCTCCTCAATCTACTGTGTTGCATGGTGGGAAACCTGAGCATAAGCCCAAAGTAAAGACTCTTGGTTCTTGCATATATGGTTAGCCTTCTGGTGGTCTTTGGGGTCTGTGATTTTGATATAACAACAGCACACAGTGAGGATTTGAAATGGTGAGAATGGATAGGACAATTGATATGTATGACTCTCAGCATGGTTACCTGAGGTGATGGCATCATTTCTTGAGGGTCTATTGGAGAAGGAATATATTGTATGAGAAGATGTTTGGTATTGAGTACAGAGAGGATCAAATGACTCAATGAGGAAAGTCAGCTGAGATAATTAAAGGACATGGGATACAAAGGAACTCAGAAAAAGTATGAGCTGTGAATATCAATGTGGAATATTTGTCATGTGGATGGATGACAAGGGAAGACAAAAACATTGTACATGGTATTCCACAACAATGTACAATGTAAAGAGAGAAGAGTAGGCCAGAAGTCTGAGGAAGACCAATATTTAAGGAAAACAGAGGAGAGGACAGAAAGGAAGAGAGCAGAAAGGAAAGAGGATAGAAGAGAGGAGATAAGAAGAGAGGGGTACAAATGGTCGAGGAAAGGAGAGTAGTGAGGGCAGAAGAGGAGAGGGAAGGGGGAAGTAAGGAGAGTATGAAGGAGTAAAGTTCCTTAGCAGGCAGGAGAGGCCAGGGAAGAAAGACAAGGCCCAGGGAGAAAGCCACCACTCCTACTACAAGAGGCAGGAATAGGAGGCAATTACTGTCAGATATAGCTTGTCCTCTATAAAGAAGCAGTCAGTTTTTGAGAATAAGAGGCTGGGTAGGTATGTACACTTGAATAGACATAATGAGTTGAAATGGCCTTTGTAGAGAATAGAGAGCTGGTAGGAGAAATGTAGTGGACCACCCAGCAGCACCTAAGGCCCAACTGAAGCTGGAGCTCATGAATCCAGAGCAGTTCTGATCTCTACATCATGAACCTTTTCTTCGAAAACATTAAGAAGCCCAGGATATGTACATGAGGAAGACACACAGGAGAACTGAAGTAGATTTCAAGGCAATAATGATTTTATTGGGCACTTACTTTATATCAAGCTGTAAACTGAGCATAGAAATCAGCCCCTAAAGAGCCAGTAGCCACTGGAGAGGATGCTCTGTGAGGTGATGAGCCAGAGTCTCATAGCTATATAGCATTTCAGCATAGAGGCAGCATGTATGAACTACAAACTGGAATGAACCTAGGGAACATAAAGTCAATTTGTTGTCTATAAGCTGATTATAACAATGCACATAGTACAAAGGCTCATTAATTAAACCAAGTCTATAGTGTTAAAAGGACGCTGCATACCAATTCTGTAACAGAACATGGGAATTAGGCATGTGGGGGAGGGGGTGTCTCAAGACAAAAAGGAAAGACAGTGAGAAAGGGAGCCCACTGATACCTTGGAAGAAGCAGGGTGTGAGGGTCAGAGAGTTCTAGAAAACGAAAATTTGTTGGACAGACCTGTATCTATCACAGCTAAACAGGGTTCTTTAGAGAAGCTGGTGATACTGGAAAACGTTATCTGTGCCTTCCTTAAGTTACTTTTGCTGAATATTTTGTCATTGCAATGAGAAAAGTAGAGCCTCTGTTCTAGAGGGTTCTAAGGTAGTCAGACTTTGTATGAATGGTAGAAAAGTTAATTCAAGAAGTGATGTTTATTTTTTGCTTTTTTATAGGCAAAGGGTGGAGGATATGAAAGTGAAAGTGCTTATCCCAATGCAGAACTTGTGTTCTTGGAGATCCACAATATTCATGTGATGAGAGAGTCACTTCGTAAGTTAAAGGAGATCGTGTACCCTTCTATTGATGAGTCCCGGTGGCTATCCAATGTGGATGGAACACATTGGCTGGAATATATAAGGGTAAAGAAGTTCAATATTTCATCTGCTTTCCAATTCAGACATCTAACCATCTGTTATAAATACTTCTATTTAAAGTGTTCTTTTTGAACATAACACATTAGTGCATCTTGGCTATGTAAGAAAACATTTGGACATTCTTCCTGGAAATAGTTGGACAATCCTCTCTGGGGGCTTTGCTGCAAAAAAATTCATAATGTTTTAATTATCAATTAACAACTTTGAGACAGGATCATGTAGCCCATGCTAACCTCCAGATTTGCTGAAGTTCATTTGATCTCTGATCCTACAGAGTCCACTTTCCTAGTGCTGGGTTTTTAAAAACTTGGGATTTTTTTAAAAGATGTGGTTTCATTTTTTAATTATATGTGTATGTGAGGGTTGTTATATACACATATGAGTGTCTGTGCCTGCAGATACCAGAAGATTATATTAGATCCCTAAAGGTGGAGCTACAGGTGTTTGTGAGCTGCCTGTGTTAGGTGCCAGGAGCCAAACAGTGAAAGAACAGTATGCACTCTTAATTGTTGTGCTGTCCTTCCAGCCCCAAGTTTCTTTGTTTTTAATGACAGGGTATTTCTATGTAGCCTGGGCTGCCTTTGAATTTACTACATAAACCAGACTGGCCTGAACTTGTTCTCAAATACTGGGATTATAGGTGTGCAATATACCTAGTAAGTCAGGTTTTTAACAGAATTTTGTAACCCTTCAATAAAGGACTCCATTTACTGTCATTATTTTTCATAGTTTAAAAAATACTTGGTGCTAATACTTCCTAGTGATTCTTAATTGGTTTTATGGTTGTTTGTTGTTGTTTATTTGTTTTGTGTTTTGTTTTGTTTGGGGTACTAGGGCTGGAACCTAGGGACTTAACCGAAGTAGAGCCTCCACCCTAGATGGCATTCTGGTATGGTATATTGACCAGAACAGCCAAACCTTTTCACTGAATTATCTTATATAGCAGTTAGTACTTAATACCTTTTCTTTTCTGAAGGTACTTCTTGCTGGGGCAGTAAGAATTGCTGATAAAGTAGAATCTGGGAAAACTTCTGTTGTTATCCACTGCAGTGATGGGTGGGATCGAACATCCCAGCTCACATCTCTGGCAATGCTGATGTTGGACAGTTTTTACAGGACCATTAAAGGATTTGAAGCTCTCATAGAAAAGGAGTGGATAAGCTTTGGACACAGGTTTGCACTGGTATGTTGATCTGGATTATGTGTAATTGTTGTATTATCTCACATACATGGCATTTGGTAACATATAATATAATTATATACATGAGCTTCTTTTTTCCTTTGCACCAGACTTGAATTTCCATAATACAATACCATGGACCTCCACATTTAATGTTCCTAGAAGGATTTATTTTGTATAGTTACGCCTTTCTTTTAAAATGAAGTTACATTCACATAACACAGAATTAATCATTTTTAAGTGCTCAAAATAGTGTCCTATATTACACTCACAATGCTTTGTAAACATTACGTCCTTCTAGTCCCCAATCCTATTTGTCGCCTCAAATGGAAACTCTCTATACATTAGTCAGTACACTATTCCCCCTTCCCTTCAGTCTCCAGGCTCCTAATCTGCTTCTAAAAGACTCATGAGATATCTGTAATTGGTTGATTCCGTATGGAAATGTGATGTTTTCCATAACAAAGAACCATAGACTGGGTAACACAAATCACTGTATTTTCTCACTGTTATGGAGGCTAGAAGTCCAAAATGAAGTTTCAATTTGAGAAGATGAATTTTCCAGAATGTATGGTGCTAATGATTATAAAACAATACGTAATACTATTGAACTGTATATTTAAGCATTGTTTTAACCTCAATCCTCACGTGGAAAGACAAATGGGATGGACACTAGAAAAAGGAGAAAACAGGAAAACAGGACAGGAGCCTACCACAGAGAGCCTCTGAAAGACTCTACCCAGCAGTGAATCGAAGCAGATACCGAGACTCAGAGCCAAACTTTGGGCAGAGTGCAGGGATTCTTATAAAAGAAGGGGGAGATGAAAGACCTGGAGATGATAGGCGCTCCACAAGGAAAGTAACAGAACCAAAACATCCAAATACCAAAGACACAAAGGTCTTTTCTGAGACTGATACCCCAACCAAGGACCATTCATGGAGATAACCTAGAACCCCTGTTCAGATGTAGCCCATGGCATCTCAGTGTCCAAGTGGGTTCCCTAGTGAAGGGAACAGGGACTGTCTCACATGAACTTGGTGGCTGGCTCTTTGAGCAGCCTTAGCAGGCCACAGAGGAGGACAGTGCAGCCAGTCCTCATTAGACCTGATAAGCTAGGGTCAGATGGAAGGGGAGGAAGACCTCCTCTATCAGTGGACTTGGAGAGAGGAAGGAAGGGTAGGATTGGGAGGGAATAAGAGAGGGGTCTATAGCTGGGATACAAAGTGAATAAACTGTAATTAATATAAAAATAAAATTTTAATTAAAAATATTTTCTGGGAAAAAAAGAATTATTTTAACCATTGGTTACTTTTATGTTGCATATTTTATCATAATTAAAAATGTAAATGGAGAAGGGCTGCAGACATTGCTTAGTAGTTAAGAGTACTTGCAAGCTCTTGCAGAGGATTTAAGTTCAGTGCCAAGTACCCACATGGCAGTTCTTTTTTTAATTTTTATATTAATTACAGTTTATTTACTTTGTATCCCAGCTGTAGACCCCTCCCTTATTCCCTCCTAATCACACCCTTCCTTTCTTATCTCCTCCTGCCCCTCTCTAAGTCCACTGATAAGGGAGGTCCTCCTCCCCTTCCATCTGACCCTAACCTATCAGGTCTCATCAGGATTGGCTGTAATGTCCTTCTCTGTGGCTTAGCAAGGCTGCTCCTCCCCTGGGGGGGTGGGAGGTCAAAGAGCCTGCTACTGAGTTCATATCAGAGACAGCCCCTCTTCCACTTACTAGAGAACCCACTTGGATACTGAGCTGCCTTGGGCTACATCTGAGTAGGAGTTCTAGGTTATATCCATGCATGGTCCTTGGTTGGAGAATCAGTCTCAGACCCCTGTCCCCAGATATATTTGGTCCTTGTGGAATTCCTGTCCAGGTCTTACTAACTCCCTCTTCTTTCATGATTCCCTGCATTCTTCCCAAGGTTTGGTTATGAGTCTTAGCATCTGCTTTGATACATTGCTAGGTAGAGTCTTTCAGAGGTCCTCTATGGTAGGCTTCTTTAAAGTCCAAGTGGATCAAAGACCTCAACATAAAACCAGACACACTAAATCGATTAGAATAAAAAGTGGGGAAGAGCCTAGAACGCATTGACACAGGAGACAACTTCTTTAACAGAACACCAACAGCACAGGCTCTAAGATCAACAATTAATAAATGGGAACTCATGAAATTGAAAAGCTTCTGTAAAGCAAAAGACACTGTTGTCAGAACAAAACGACAGCCTACAGACTGGAAAAGGATCGTCACCAACCCTATATCTGACAGAGGGCTAATATCCAGAATTTATAAAGAACTAAAGAAGTTAAAAAGCAACAAATCAGGCAATCCAATTAAAAAATGGGGTACGGAGCTAAACAGAGAATTCTCTGTAGAGGAATATAGAATGGCAGAGAAACACTTAAAGAAATGGTCAACTAGCCATCAGGGAGATGCAAATCAAAACGACCCTAAGATTTCACCTTACACCCATCAGAATGGCTAAGAGTAAAAACTCAAATCATATGTCAGTTCTTAACCACCTGTAACTCCAGGTCCAGGGCATGCATTAGCCAGCCTCTGTCCTCACACACATTATACATATAAATAAAAACAGACAAATCTCTAAAGTAAAACAAATCACCCAAAACAACAGAACTAAACACCTACCCTATCTAATGAAAACAAGGTAATTCTACGAGGTTTTGCTTTTGCAGCAGGGGCCAAGGGAGCCCTTTTGCTCCCACTGTGTGGCCCTCACTGGCCTGGGACTTACTATGTATGCCAGGCTGCACTCAAACTCACAAAGATCCACCTGCTTTTTTCTCACAGGTGCTCTGATTAAAGGCATGTGCCACCATACATAGCATATCTGAGATTTTTTAAAAATAATTTTGTAATTTATTTTTTCAAATGTTTATACATGTGCACAGTGTGTTTTGATTTTATTCCTTTTTCTCTACCTCCTTCTAACTCCTCCTGGAACCCACCACTCTCATTGTTAGATGCTGTCATTACTTGGTCATTTCCTTGTCATATCCTTCCGGATGGCAATTTCATTGATTATTTTCCAAGCTCTCTATGTGGGGATTGAATAATTCTGCTCCATGATAATTTCTTTCTTATCCTTTTGCTCATTTGGAAACTTATCTTAGAACACCCACTCTATAGATGTTTTTTTATGCATTGAACTTTCAATGCTTCTAGCAAGTCTCTTTATGTGGTTGGGAATATTACCTTTAAGTTTAAATGCATTACTATAAAATACCAAAGGTATGAAGTGTATTTCTTGACTTGCTTGAGGAAAAAAATCTGTCCAATTACGATTTTAAGAGTGAGATTTTGGGTTCTCCAAGTCAGGCAAAGATGTATAGCACTTATAGCATCTTTAGCAGTGTTTTTTTCACTGTCAGAATTACTGTCATTTCTTATTATATGTGTGTATGTGTATGACGTTTCATGTGTGTGAATGTGTAGAGGCCAATGGTTGACATCAAGAGGTCTTTGCCTACCCTTTTCCACATTTGAGACAAGTTTCTCACTGAACTTGGACCTCACAATTTAGCCTAGACAGGATAGCAAGACTCCAGGGTCTCCTGTCTATGCCACCCATTATTAAGGTTATAGGCATGTGCCACCATACCCAGCTTTTACATGGGTGCTGGAAACCCATGCTCAGGTCCTCTGTTTGGGTAGCAAGCACTTTCCACACTGAGCCATTTCTTCGGCCTTCTTCCTGATATTTATAAAATACTTCCTACTTTGTAAATTACTAATTAATCTTCCTACACTTGGCATTATACACTTGGTGTAGCCCTCGATCCCATCATTTTAACTGAAAAGTTTGCTAGCCAATTTGTCTTTCTTGGTGTCAACTATATTAAAGAAATATCATAAAACCACCACCATGTAAATATAGAGTAAACTGTAATTTTGTTTTCTAAAAGAAGGGAAAGTCCATTTAGTTTAATTAATTCTTATTTCTAATTATATAGTCATTTATTTTTTAAGTCTTACAAAATACTGCATTTTGTCATGGTATTTTCATACTATATATCATTATGCTCTGATTTTCTAAATCATCCTTCTTACAAACAAATTTGAGTGCCTGTGATGAGCAGGAATTCACTTAGGCATGATGAGACATGACTGGGCAATTTAAGTGACTTTTCAGAGGATCATAGCCTATTCATATATATGCATATTCTATCTCTGTGTGTATATATATATGTATATATGCATATGCTATGTGTGTATATATATTTATATGTATATATACATAGCACATATATGCATATATATGATAAATATGTATTATATTTATGTGTTATGTATATAAAACCTTTTGGTTCTTTTCAGAGAGTAGGCCATGGTGATGACAACCATGCAGATGCTGATCGATCACCTATATTTCTTCAGTTCATTGATTGTGTTTGGCAGATGACAAGACAGGTGAGAGATTTTAAGTGTTATTTCTGACCTATGTCTTTGTTTCAAATATATCTTATAGGTAAAAATTAAATTTCCATTGCTGCTTCATTCAAAATGAGGGTATGTGTGTTAAACATAGCCCCTTCTAGTACTCAGTACAGTTTGATTCTCATTCACTTAAAGATGTGAACAGAACATTCGAAACAATTTTCTTCTGCTGGTGGTTTTGGTTAATCCCCTTATCCATATTTAATTCTGCTTCTTCTTTTCCCCTTTTGTCAGTCCCCTGCTGAGCACTTACTTCAATATTTCGTCCCACATTAGAACTTCTAGTTAAGCAAGTCAGTCCAAGGCATCTGAGGATATTCACATTGAGAAAAATGTGTGTCTGAGAGCCAATAATAGAGAGGAAGCTTAGAAGTTTTGTGTTTTGTTTCTGTTTTTATTTTTGTCCTTAACTATTGTTTTAGCCTCCTAACTCCATTGAGCACGGCTCTGATATTTTGTTTGTTTGTTTGTTTGCTGTTTCAAGACACGGTTTCTCTGTGAAGCCTTGGCTGTCCTGGACTTGATTTGTAGTCCAGGCTGTCCTCAAACTCACAGAGATCAGCCTGCCTCTGCCTCCCATAGTGCTTGGATTACAGGCTTGCACCACCTTACTCAACTTGAGCAGGGCACTGATAAGCAAGGGAACTTCTAGAGATCTTCCCTTCCTGTTAGTCAGGCCCTGCAGCTTCATTACAAGTAAGTCCCACTCAGATTTTTCCCTGGGATTGGAGACTTTGTCAGGGACATGAACTTGGAAACAAAAAGAATGAAGGAAGAGGCAAGAGAACAGTCTTTTCCAGTGTTTTCTATTCAGCCTGGCTTGAGTGAGACTGAGGACCAGGGGCTAGAATGCTATCCTTCCTGTGTATCTGTAAGAAGCTCCTAGTCATTTTCAGGTACTCCTCCAAATGGCCTTCATGTTCATGCTTAATGCTCCTGAAAGTCTTTTCAAACTTCTCAGAGAACATTTATGTCCTTGCTTGTTTGCTCACTGTGGGTACTGCTACTGGTGGAAGTGTGTTGAAATGAGAAAAATGTCAAGAACAAATATATTCCCTCTGCTGCCCTCCCTATCACAGTGTGGACTGCTTCCCAGGAGCATCCCGTGGGAACCTGGTAGCCATACTAGCTCTAGACCCACACAGACCTGCTGATGCTCAAGAGGTAGAGCCCAACACTCTGGGGCTCCCAAGCCCTCCTGGCACTTCTGATGTTTGAGAATACAAAGCTAGACCAGGCCAGCTGTAACTTGAACCAGCACATGAATCTTCTGAGGTTCTTATTGAAATACTAGAACCTGAATCAGTAGTTTGCAGAGCTGCCTTTTTGATGCTATGGGTTCACGGACTGAGGCAAGGACAGTGGTTCTCACTCTTTAATATAGATCCTCATGTTGTGGTGACCCCCCAACCATAAAATTATTGTCATTGGTACTTCATAATTAATTTTGCTACTGTTATGGATCATAATGTAAGTATTTTTGGAGACAGATATTTGCCAAGGGGTTCACAACCTACAGGTCTACCTTTAAACCTGGGAAGCAAGGGGAGAGTTTATAGAGTAGATCTTATAGGCCATCACTTGGAATGGACTCTTCCCTGTAGATTTAGCATCAGCAAGCTGACAGGGGTCTTATGTTAACTGAGTTTCCTATAGTAGAGAATTAAAAAAAAATAGTCTAAGGGGAGAATACCCAAGTGAAAGGCAACAGAAAAGGCAGGCTGAAATGTCCTAGCGGCTAGCTGGAAGTCTTTTCATTTATAGTACCCTACTAATGACAAAACTTAGTGGTTATTACATTTAGATCAAGAAAAGAAAGTATGAAACACATTTCAGAAAAATTACCTTGAAAATTAAGTGCAAAAAAATCCATCTGGTAACAATCTCGTGGATATGAACTAGGTTCATTTTCCCAAAATGCTTCTGAACATGCACATTGGCATGCACATGTGTGTCTGTGCCTTCAAATTGATTTCTGTTCCTCATACTGATTAATACTTATTTTTACCTCTAATCTGTTATTTTTGTATTGCTTATTGGTTTTTAAGAAGGAAAATAAGAGGTTGGATGCAGTAGTTCAGGGGCCCCTCGTAACTCTCTGATACTATTCATTAAATATGTGTATAATTTTCCTTAAAATAACATTAGTACTTGAGAGGAAGAGATTAGTGGTTTTTAGCTATAAGTTAATAAATTATGTTTATATGTAACAAGGTCATAAATATTTATCCATGTAATACATGTGCTTATTTTTCATTTGCATAACTGCTAAATTGAGTTCAGTCAGTATAAAGTCAGAAAAAAAATCTCAGAATACAATGAGCTATTTTGTATATAGACAAACTATGACAAAAAGAACTAGGGAAAATGCTTGAGGGAACCTTTAGCATCTTAGAAAATTTCTATAGCATCTATAGTCTAAAGGAACATTACCCTTTGGGATAGTTCTTGATCCTTTTGTTCCTCAAGCAGTACAAAATTTCCGTGTACATTATGATGTATTTTTGAGACTACATTTTAGGTAAATTATATAGTCTCTGGATGAAGACAAGAAAACGAACTACAGCTTATAGAAACTTATCCTCTGTTTGCAATTCTCTGGCATTACCACTATCCATGTTGAATTCCTTCCTAAATTAAATTTACTGCAACAGTTTTCTTTGAGCAATTGCAATCTTGATCCATCCACCCAGTAGGAGTAGATGGAACCTGGGTTGCTGGTTTTCATGAGTGCTGTGGGGCTTGAGCTGAGCCTTGCCTACTTTATTCTCCCATACCTGGCACTCAGTTGGCCACACTAAACCGGTAGTACTGGCACTTGAATACATCCATCCAAGCTTTTAGATCTAGAATATAGACTCATAGACTAGGTATAAATATTCAATGTCTCATTCTTCTCAGACTGATGTCCTGCTTACTAGCCTAACAATAATTAGGAAACCCATGTGTCAGTAATCCTAGTTGTCACTCAGGAGATGTCAAGATTAGACTTGACAATGTGCAAGCATGATTCTGACTAGATAATAGTATTTGTGTGTTTTAGAAGTAGTAGGGATTGAATCTGGAGCCTTGTGCAATCTAAACAAGTGTTTAATAACTGAACTACCTGATTCCTGCCCAAGAATAAGTCTTCAGTGTAAACTGACTTAATGTAAATATGCTAGGTACCTCTGTTTATTTACTTTTGTTCCGGCTTCCTTTGCTTCATTTAGCAGAGTCTATTTCAGTGTTTTAAATAAAACTCTGGCACATGGTAGGCACTCAGTACAGTCCTGCTGTTGGGACTATTATTATTTTCAGATGTCTCACGGCTGGTAAATTGCTGTTACTGGCTGTAAGCTATTGGCAGTGCTCATAATCTTCACAGAAATTCTGAACAACCACATTCATTATGCATTGCCTAAAACAATTAAGGTGACCATGTGGTTTTCTTCTTTGATCTGTTAATAAGATTAATTATAGTAATTTATATTTTTGTAACATTGATTTTCACTGTTAAACCAGCCTTGCATTCCTCTAGAATAAACCAGACTTGGCCATGTAATATTGCCTTCTTATACACTGCTAGATTCAGTTTAAACATTGGTAATAATTTAGAAGCATGAGTTCATGGGATTGTATGTGTGAGAGAGACCTTAAGAATGAGTAATCTCCTTTGATAGTCTGCAGGGCAGAGCCTTTCAGAGGCCCTCTGTGGCAGGTTCCTAACTTGTTTCCTGTTTTCTTCTTCTGATGTCCATCCTCTTTGCCTTTCAGGGTGGGGATTGAGCGTTTTAGTCACGGTCCTCCCTCTTAGTTTCTTTAGGTGTACAGATTATAGTAGGTTTATCCTATATTATATGTCTATATGAGTGAGTATATACCGTGTGTGTCTTTCTGCTTCTGGGATAGCTCACTCAGGATGATCCTTTCCAGTTCCCACCATTTACCTGCAGATTTCATGATTTCCTTGTTTTTCATTGCTGAGTAATATTCCATTGTGTAGATGTACCACAATTTCTGTATCCATTGTTCATTTGAGGGGTATATGGTTGTTTCCAGCTTCTGGCTATTACAAATAAAGCTGCTACAAACATGGTTGAGCAAATGTCCTTATTGTGTACTTGAGCCTTTTTTGGATATATGCCTAGGAGTGGTATGGCCGGATCTTGAGGAAGTGCTATTCCTAGTTGTCTGAGAAAGCGCCAGATTGATTTCCAGAGTGATTGTACAAGTTTACATTCCCACCAGCAGTGGAGGAGGGTTCCCCTTTCTCCACAACCTCTCCAGCATGTATTTTCACTTGAGTTTTTGATCTTGGCCATTCTGATGGGTGTAAGGTGAAATCTCAGGGTCTTTTTGATTTGCATTTCCTTTATGGCTAATGAGGTTGAGCATCTCTTTTTTAAGTGTTTCTCTGCCATTCGATATTCTTCTATCGAGAATTCTGTTTAGCTCTGTTCCCCTGTTCCCCATGTTTTAATTTGATTACTAGGTTTGTTGCTTTTGAGCTTCTTTAGTTCTTTATATATACTGGATATTAGCCCTCTGTCAGATAGAGGGTTGATGAAGATTCTTTCCCAATCTGTAGGCATTCATTTTGTTTTGATGATGGTGTCCTTTGCTTTACAGAAACTTTTCAGTATGAAAGCAGATGCTGAGACTTATGGCCAACTGTTGGGCAGAGTGCATAGAATCTTATGAAAGAAGTAGGAAATAGTAAGATATGGAGAGGACAGGAGCTCCACAGGAGAGCAACAGAACCAAAAAATTTGAACATAAGGGTCTTTCCAGAGACTCATACTCCAACCAAGTACCATGCATGGAGATAACCTAGAACCCCTGCACAGATGTAGCCCACGGCAGTTCAGTGTCCAAGTGGGTTCCATAGTAGTGGAACAGGGACTGCCTCTGACATAAACTGATTGGCCTGCTCTTTGATCACCACCCCTTGCGGAGAAAGCAGCCTTACCAGGCCACAGAAGATGACAATGCAGCCACTCCTGATGGGATCTGATAGACTAGGATCAGAAGGATGGAAAGGAGGACCTCCCCTATCAGTGGACTTGGGGAGGGACATGCGTGAAGAAGGGGAGGGAAGTTGAGATTAGGAGGGGAGGAGAGAGGGGTTTATGGAGGAATACAAAGTGAATAAACTATAATTAATAAAAGTTAAAAAAAGAATTAGTAATCTGTAATATGTTTAGATCTAGTCACACATTCTGTTCTTCTTGAATCACTTTTGATAAATGTTGAACATGGAAAGTTCCTCCCCACTCTGTGACCTGCAGTGTACCTCCAGGCAAAAATCAGGTTCAATAACTGCTCTTTTCGTTGACTTGTGTTTTCTCAAGGGCCATAGCAATTCCATGTTGCCTACTGCCAGAATCTAAGGACATATATTTTGTCTTTATTGTATTTTATCTACCTTTCTAGTTCTTTCTGTCAAAATGGTAAATCTGAGCTTTGTTCTACCATCTGAGAAACTGGAAGCTATCTGGTTTTCAGGTATTAAGGAACACAACAAATTGTGTTGGGTATAGTTGTTTCTTAACCAGATCTATCAGCTTGGACTTGAAATTCTCAATTAGCTAAAAGACTGTTTGCTTTTTAATCTGACCATATTCCATATTGTAGTCCATCTCATACACAAATAAGGAATATGACTTTTTTTTAATTAGACTTCAAAACTAAACTTTATTTTTCCTCTTCATTTAAGTTCCCTTCAGCATTTGAGTTTAATGAATTACTCTTGATTACAATTTTGGATCACCTCTATAGCTGTCTTTTTGGGACCTTTTTATGCAACTGTGAACAACAACGCATCAAAGAGGTAAGTGTATATGCTTCCCCTATTGTTCAGGCATCTTTTCTAGTAAACTCTACCAGAAGGGGCTTGAATGGAATGAGGACTTGGCTCCTGGTCCTATTGCTGCTTGTAATGCCACAGGGTAGTGGGAGAGATGACCTAGATCCCTTTCCAAGATTTTAGCAGTCTAAGCATAGGTATCTAATATAAGCCTCTTATAGAGGCAGGAACCCAACAAGCCCAAAGCCCTCCAAGGTGTAGGACAAAATCCATACTTCCATAGCCCAGTATGATGGGACCCTGTTAACTTATTTATTTATTTATTTATTTATTTATTTATTTATTTATTTATTTATTTATTTATATCCTCATCACAGCTCTCCTCTCTTCCTACTTGAATCCCCTATGGATACCAACCCACCCTGGGACATTAAGTGGCTGCAAGATTAAGTGCATTCTCTCCCACTGAGGCCATGTCCAGCTAGGGCAATGGTATCCAAAGGAAGGCATCAGAGTCAGAGGGCCCCCCCGTTTCAGTTGTTGGGGGACCCACATGAAGACCAAGCTGTACATCTGCTACATATGTACAAGGGACTTAGGACCAATCCTTGCATTCTCTTTGGTGGTTCAGTCTCTGTGAGACCCCATGGGCCCAGGTTAGTTGACTCTGTAAGTCTTCTTATGGAGTCCTTGACCCCTCAGGTTCCCTCAATCCTTCTCCCAATTCTTCCATAGGATTCCCTGAGTTCTGTCTAATGTTTGGTTCTGGGTTTCTGCATCTGTTTCCATCAACTTCTAGGTGAAGCCTCTCAGAGGAGTTATGCCAGGCTCCTCTGAGAGTTGCATAGCAGAGTAAGATTAATAGTGTCAGGGATTGATTCTCCTTAATGGGATGGGTCTCAAATAGGACCAGTCATTGCTTGGCCATTCCCTCAGTCTTTACTCCATCTTTGACCCTGCACATCTTGTAGGCAGCACTAATTTTAGGACAAAGGTTTTGTGGATGGGTTGGTGTCTACACACCTATGAACACTTAATTTTTGACCAAAAAAAAAGCCAAAACATACAGTGAAAAAAGAAAGCATTTTCAACAAATAGTACCAGTCTTCATATAGAAGATGTCTACATATAGAGGAATGCAAATAGATCCATATTTATCACTCTGCACACAACTAAATTTCAAGTGGATCAAAGACCTCAACATAAAACCAAATACACTAAATCTAATAGAAGAGAAAGCTGGCAATAGCCTTGGACTCATTGGCACAGGAAACAACTTCCTGAACAGAACACCAACAGCTCCGGCTCTAAGATCAACAATGGAACCTCATGAAACTGAAAAGCTTCTGCAAGGCAAAGGACACTGCTAAGAGGATAAAACAGCGGCCTATAGATTGGGAAAAGTGCTTTACCAATCCTACATCTGAGAGAGGGCTAATATCCAAAATATATAAAGAACTCAATAAATTAGAGAACAACAAAACAAATAACCGAATTAAAAAATGTGGTACAGAGATAAGCAGAGAACTCTCAACAGAGGAATCTCTAATGGCTGAGAAAAACTGCCCTTAGTCATCAGGGAAATACAAATAGAAATGACCCTGAGAATCTACCTTAAACCCATCAGGATGGCTATGATCAAAAACTCAAGTGGGACAATACATGCTTCAGAGAATGTGGAGCAAGGGGAACCTTCCTCCATTGCTGATAGGAGTGCAAACTCATATAACCACTTTGGAAAGCAATCTGGTAGTTTCTCAGAAAAAATGGAAATAGTTCTACCTCAAGAGCAAGCTATACCACTCCTGGGACTATACCCAAAAGATGTTAAACCATACAAAAAGGACACTTGCTCAATCAACTATGTTCATAGCAGCTTTTTTCATAATAGCCAGAACCCTGTTAACTCTTTAAAAAAGATTTTAAATAATTTTTATTTTATATGAATAAATATGGTGCCCAAAGCGGCCATAAAAGAGCATCATATACTCTAGAACTGGAATTCTAGACAAGATGAGCCACCATGTGGGTGCAGGGAACCAAACCCAGGTCCTTGTAAGAGTGGCAAGGGTTTGTAATCGCTGAGCCATCTTTCTAGCTCCTCTGTTCACTTTTTAATTTTAAAAAGGGGAGACTAAATAGTAAATATAATGGCATGTGAATTGAATCTCAATGAAATTGTTTAAAGCAAAACAAAAGAAACCCTCAACAGCAGAATAAAATCCATGAGCTGTATCTTTACCAATTGTTGTAAAGTAGGGAATACAAGATTTATTCTTTATTTAAATAAAAGATCAACATAGATTGCATAACACAAAATTTACTTAATCTGAATATTACAGTTCAGTGTAATCACAGATATTTAATTTCATAAATATTTTATCCATCCCTTTTAGAAGTCCCCTATTAATTACAAGTTGCTTTCTATTTTCCCGGCACCTAGAATCTGCATATTCTGGACATGTCCTATAATTGGACTTATACATTAGGTGCATATTTGTGAGTGACCTACTCTACCTAGTGTAAAAATTTCAAGGTTCATCCATATGCCAGCACATTCCTTTTTGTGGTTAAATAATATTCCTTTATATGAATAGAGCACATTTTGTGTGTCTGTTCATCAGCTGATATTCAATTGTTTTCTTTTTGTGGCTCTTGAATAATGTTCCTATAAATGTTCATGTACAAATTCCATTTCTTGGCTGTATTTTTTTCATGGATATGTATCTAAGAATGGAGTGATTGGACTGACTCTCTGTTTAACCTTTTGTAGAACCTTCAGATTATTTTCCAAATTGATTGTTCCATTTTCAATCTTAGTAGTAATATTCTACAAGTTTTCGTCTCCCTATATTTGCTGGTGCTTATTATTTTTCTTTTAAAAGAAATAACCATATCATAGATAGTGTAATAAAATTTTTGCTTACATTTCCCTAATGATAAATGATATTGGGCATCCTTTCATGTGCTCATTTGACATTTGTATATCTTCTGTGGGAAATATCTATTCAATTCTTTGTTCATTTTTCAATTAAGTTATTTGTCTTTAAAAATCTTGATTTGTCTGTTTTTATAAAGTTTTATATACATATGATTTACAAAGTTTTTCTCTCATTCTATGGGATTTTTTACTGTCTTGAAGCACAAAAGTGTTTAACTTTGATGACATCAGATTTTTTTTTATGTTGTTTGTTCTTTTGATATTATAGCTAAGAAATCATTGCTTAACCAAGGCCACAGAGATTTGATCCTGGTTTTCTTCTGAAACTCTTACAAATTTAGCTCTTGCATTTCTGTCTGTGTTACATTAGCAGTTATTATTTGTTTAGCATTTAGTAAGATTTCCACTCAATTCTTTTAGGTTGGCTGTCTAGTTGGCTGTCACAGTACTATTTGTTGGAAAAACTTGCTTTCTCCATTGAGTTGTGTCATTATCCTTGTTGAAAATCAGTTAAATGAATCTGGGCATGATGGCACATGCCTTTAATCCCAGGAGAGCCAGGGTTTATATAGAAAAACCCTGTCTTGAACCCCCACCCTCAAATCAGTTGACTGTAAAGGTGACACATGTTAATTTCTGTGCTCTTTTTTTATTCCATTGACCTACATGTATATCTTTATACCAGCAACACTGGTATTAATTATTATAACATTATAATAAGTATGAGTCTTCCCACATCTTCCTTTTTCAATATTGCTTTGGCTATTCTGGATCCTTTGACTTATTAGTGATGTTTCTTTTATAAATAAAATATATAAATAATGAGGTGGTCATAATCCTGTTAGAATCCTATAAGCTTATAGTTCCTGTGAAAATATACCTCATAGAAAGTAGGCAGTCCCATGAGCTACAAAGTGGGAGAACATTTACTTGGTCTTATTTTTTATTTGTGTGAATATTTCACTTTTTAATCCATTGTTTAATGTTTATTTGCCCTAATGTACCCACCCATTTTGCTGTTTTTATTCAGATAAGCAAATAAAATTGTTACATTTCTAAAGTGTATACTGTAAAATTGAGAGGGAGATATAATGTGATGGAATATACTTCTATACAAAGCTTCTCCAGCCTGCAGATAACTACGCCATTTCAAATTCTACCAGCATTTCTGAATATGAAGAATCACAAAACCTCAATCCAGAATACAATATGTATTTGTTATTGATGAGCCTGCTTATACTGTAGATATTAGAAAGTTCTTATTCATCTTCTTACAGATATAGCTACCAAATATTGCCTAACTTCACTGTTTTCTGGGATATCACACATGTCATCTGTAGCGTGAGGCTGCATGTAGCCAGAAAGGTAGGGCTCAGTAATGTGCCTAGATTTTTTGGTGTTGAATTCAGTTCAGTTCATTATCCAAATTATTTTCTTTATGTACTACTAATCCTTGTGGCTGACAAGAACTTATTTCAGTGTACTGGTTTTTGTTTTACAGGATATATATACAAAGACTATATCTCTATGGTCTTATATCAATAGCCAACTAGATGAATTTTCAAATCCTTTCTTTGTGAATTATGAGAACCATGTGTTATATCCTGTTGCTAGCATGAGTCACTTGGAATTGTGGGTCAATTACTATGTACGATGGAATCCGCGGATGAGACCACAGGTAATTTTCTGTTTTTCTTCTTTTCATAAGAGTATTCATTTCTTTCCAAGTGAAAATGGTGTTGTAAAAATGTGTGAGTAGTCCACTGATAGGGGAGGACCTCCTCCCCCTTCATTTGACCCTGTTTTATCAGGTATCTTCAGGGCTGGCTGCAAAGTCCTCCTCTGTGGCCTAACAGGACTGCTCCTCCCCTTGGGGGGGGGGGGAGGTCAAAGAGCTTGCTATTGAGATCCTGTTAGCAATAGTCCTTGTTCCGCTTACTTTGGAAAACTACTTGGTTACTGAGCTACCATGGGCCACATCTGAGCAGAAGTTCTAGATTATATCCATAGATGGTCCTTGGTTGAGTGTCAGTCTCAGAAAAGACCCTGTGCCCGGATATATTTGAAAAGGGGCAGGGAGGAGACCAGGGAGGGAGTGTGGGGTTGGGGAGGGAATGAGGGAGCGGGATACAGCTGGGACACAGAGTTAACAAAATGTAACTAATAATAAAAATAAAAATAAAAAAAGGAAAAAAAATGTGTGAGTAGTAGATACTGACCTACTAAAGGTATATTGCTCCTATAAGTCAAGGTTCCATGTTTTGTGCTCCCATTCCAGAAGGTTTCTCCCACATACACACCCCAATACCATTTACTGAGTTAGAGTTCAAGCTGTTAGATGTCTGCATTCTAGTGATGAAATGGTAGAAAATATCATCTCCTCCTGTGTTTGGTTCTGAATCTAAATTGTGTACCTATGGAGATAGTGAAGACTTGTGGAAAGTACACCAAGGTTCACTTATAGCATGATATAGGAAGAGGGTATATGATACACCTTGGAAGAAGAGTAAATTTTCCCTACCCTGCTTTCACAGTAAAGTAACATGTTTTGAAATTAAAAAAAAAAAAATACAGTGTACAACAGAAGCCAGTCAACCAAGTTCTATTCCCAAGGTCATGTATGGGTTACTGATGAAGGTAACATGATCTATGGGTGTGGCAGATAAGACAGAGGTCCTAAGGGACGAGTAAAGTATTTGCCCAGTACACAGTGGCCTCTGGAGCCAGCCTGTGCTATGTAAAAATATATTGTTATATAATAATATTACATATTATTATTATTACTCTCTATATATCTCTTCCTATAGCCTGACAAAATGGACCGTTTCTTTTTTTAAGCTTCCTGAGGCATCTGGCTGCTTTTGCTCAGTCTTTCTCCTACTGTTAGTCTTGTTATGGTCTTTCTCATCCCAATAAGAGGGATAATCACCAATAGCACTCACTGTGGTCTAGTTTCAAGTGTTTGAGGGTATAGAAGCAAGACCTGATGAGAGGTGGGCTGGAAAGGCAGACTGGGGTTTAGAGGATATCACTATTAGTCCTGAGGAAGTAGCCACAGAGGTGTGGTATGTAGTGAGCCATATTGTCCTCCTGAGGCATAGGACCAGTCCAATAACTGCTGTGTGTACAATGAATGGGAATGGAAACAAAACTCCCAAGACCTGCCCATGCCTCCGTTGTCCCCCAGCATCACCCCACCCTGAGAAATCTATAAGGGAAAGGCTGAGTCTTGGGTCTCTAGGCTCCTAGTAGGTACTAAGGATGTTTGTTAGCTTAGAAAGCTGGGTATGGTGAACATAAATACTGGGACCTTGCCATCTTTGTTATGCTCTCCCACCATCATTAGGGGGTCTAAAAGATAATCAGAGTGAAGCAATGAAGAAGTGCTAAGTGGGACACAAAGGACTGGTCTCTCTTGGGCACGTGTCCCCTAGCATTGCCCTCCAGGGGCTTTCTGCGAGCTCCTCTTCCAGTTGATGAAAACACAGAGCTCTATGTTGAAGAAAGTGCTGACTTAACAGAAGTGTTTGCAGTCAGTGGAGCTATTTATAAAAATGCATGAGTACAGGGCTAATGGAGCAGGGATCTCATATGAACACTGCTTCGCCTGGCAGCTGGGAAGAAGCTACTTGCATTTCTGAATGCTCCAAAGACTGCCTGGCTTAGAGTCTGCACTCGGAAGCCTTGGTAGACTTGGGATTGCACCTGAACCTGTTTGCTCCTTCTTGAGAGTAAAGGCAATGGAGGGTGAGGATGACCTGTCCTCCCCACTGCCTTTTCATGCCTAGCTCGTCCCTGGGAGCTTTGGGACAGCCTGGGTAACCACCTAAAGCTCCTAACTTGTGGAGACAGATAGTTTAGTTAGTTAGTTAGTTAGTTAGTTAGTTAGTTAGTTAGTTAGTTA